TTTTTTTTTTTTTTTCTACTTTGGTAGAATTTAATATCTAATCTAGAGAGAAAAAGAGCACTAATCATTTTTTTTTAAAAAAACAAATCATGCTTATAAAAATGATAAGTTTTTTTAAAAAGCAAATGCCAATCCCATATGTAATTTGTTATGTGTTTATATTAGTATTTTGTATTATTATCTGGGGAAATATATACTACGGTCCAGTTAAGGATTAAAACACCCGACAAAATAATACAGTAACATGACCGTATAATTTCCCTATTATTTGTACTGCAATATTATAAGGCATGATTTACTATACTAGTTAACAAGTAATATTACAATATTTGTGCAATACACTAGTATTAATTTAAAAGTTGTATTATTATTCTTATTAAAAATTACGTTTCATCATTTTTAAGACTCGCTCGTTTTGTATTATAATTTCTTGTGTCTCATATGATATAATAGGATCCACTGATATATTATATAAGTTTGTTTATTTGATGAATAATTTTATTATTTTTCTATCAGGAATTAATGATAGGTAATTTAAATCTTATTATCATTTTTTACAGTTATTTATGTATATATGTTGCCAAATAAAAGTTCGTCAGAAGATTATTAATTTGATTTATCATACATAAAAAAAAACACATATTTCTTAAGTTTTAAATATATATATATATAAATCAAAAAATTATTTTATAATTTTAAAGTAATGTATGGATAAAATAAAGTGGAAAAAAATTATATATAAGTGAGTGACCCATATGATGGCTTGATTACGAACCATAAAATATTAACACATGACATCTCATTTGTAATTAGGAAAAACACTTGGGATTAGTTTATGCAATTAATTATTACAAACAGCCAATTTAATTAAAATATGATGAGGATTTGTTGAAAATTGTCCGCAATTAATTCACGCTTCATCTGATGGTTTTCATGTTGTGACAGACAGACACGTAACTTATTTGCAAGATTTTTTCAAACTACTTTAACCAACATTAACGGCTTCGTTAGTTGCGATTTTTCGTTCACAAATTATATACCATTATAAATTATAATGATAAACTAAAAAGTCATCTGTCGAACAATAATATAAATTATTAGTTTAAGAAAAACAAAAAAGTCATAAAATATTTGTAACATATATTGTGCCTCTAATATGTTTAATTTTGATGGACATTTTGAAAAATTTATTTAACATTTTGATGAAAGTGAAGTGCCTCTACAATAATATTCTTTGTCGCAAATTAACCCTTAATAGACGCAATTAAATTGGATTTCCTCATATAGGTGATCACTCTATAAATAGGGTTATTGACACAAAAATTAATCATCCCAAGTACTCACACCTAAGTAATTAGCTCTTTTCACTGATTTTCACTTCTCCTTCATCAATGGCCAACTCTCTTTTCATCACTTGCTTGGCTTTGTTTTCTCTAGTATCCCACTTTTGCTTCGGCCTCGATCCTAATGATTGGGGCCCAGGCTCAGGCTCAGGCTCAGGCTCAGGTTGGGGTTCACCCCCGAGTATGGGATCGGGACCCGTAGGTCTCGGGTCTCCCCCGGTTTATGGCTCGGGGTCGCCACCCTCAGGCTCGGGTTGGGGCTCGGGATCACCCCCGGGTGCTGGTTCGGGACCAGGATCACATGGTTATGGTTCGGGATCAGGTTCGCCCCCTGGTTTTGGTGCTGCACCTGGATCCCCCGATTATGGTTTGGGATCAGGTTCGCCCCCCGGTTTTGGTCCTGCACCGGGATCCCCCGATTATGGTTCGGGATCAGGTTCACCCCCCTTTGGTTCTGGACCGGGATCTCCTAATTATGGTTCGGGATCAGGTTCACCCCCCTTTGGTTTTGGACCGGGATCTCCCAATTATGGTCCGGGATCGAGTTCGCCCCCAGGTTATGGATCGGGACAAGGATCTCCCGGTTATGGTTCGGGATTAGGTTCGCCCCCAGGTTATGGTTCGGGACCGGGATCTCCCGATTATGGTTCGAGATCAGGTTCGCCCCCAGGTTATGGTTCGGGACCGGGATCCCCCGGTTATGGTTCGGGATCAGGTTCGCCCCCAGGTTATGGTTCGGAACCAGGATCCCCAGGTTATGGTTCGGGTTCACCCCCTAGTGGGTCGGGTTCACCCCCGGACTCAGGATCAGGGGCGGGATGGTCTACTGACCAAGCAACTTTCTATGGACCTCCTACGGGCGATGGAAACGATGGTAAGATCGATAATCGCATGCATGCACTCATAGAAATCGACCATATTCATCGTGTGATCATGAGTTAAAAGTTACATATATATACTTGCCTTGTTGATTTCAATTTTCGATACTATTTTTTTGACAAAATTGATGTCTAATTGTGTAACGATCGATTAAGTTAACGCGTGCGGAACAAAAGACCTGTCGAACCCTCCATATTTGTCCATGGTCACAGGAGTCAACGATGCCACCTTTCAGAATAAGATGGCTTGTGGTCATTGTTACCAGGTAAATTAAAATATTTACGAATCACTATAGTTCATACTTTTTGAATAATTATCATGCTCCTTTTTTTTTCTTTTTTTTTTTATTATTTTTAGATTTACTTGTTTCCATTTTTTTTTTTCTGTATAGATAAAATGTTCGTTGGATATATGCTCGGGCCAACCGGTAACGGTGACTGTAACTGATTGGAGTGATGTTCATCACAAATTTGATTTAAGTGGCACTGCCTTTGGAAAAATGGCCAAACCTGGACAAGAAGACCAGCTTCGGGCCAAGGGAATCATAGATATTCAATATCAGCAGTAAATTCATAAACTATCTTTACCAATATTAGGGGTGTAAACGAGTCGAGCCAGATCTCAAGCCCTTAACGAGCCAACAATCGAGCTCCAACTCGACTTATTTCTAATCAATATTATCAAGTCAAAATTTTAAAAAAATATATATATATATATATATATATATATATATATAAATCATCTTTTCGAGCCTATTAAAGCTCACTAAACATACTAGAGCTCGACTCGTTTACAACAAGTATAACACATTCTATCATATCATTGTCGTTATTGATTTTGATAATTGGCTAGGGTGGAGTGCAATTATAATTCGGGGGCAAATGTGGCATCCGGCGTCAACGTGAGCTCAATCCCTAACTAGTCCTCGAAAACCGCAGTGGCCGAAGATGTGATTCCGACCGGTTATAAGATCACAACCAACACATCCAAAGTCAATATTTGATGGTTTTGATTATTATTATTATTATTGCTCGTTTAGTATGAATTTGCTATTTCTTGTTCTCTTTCGTTTTTAATAATCCTAGAGGTATTTTATTATTTGAGACGCATTATTGTATCCCGAATATAAAGTACCGATGAGCGCATGCCTTAAAAAAAAAAAATAAAAAAAATGATATGATCAAACTATTATAGAATGTATGTTGACGAGACCTCTTTAATGATGGTCACGTCTCTCGGCTCTTTCTTTACTATCCATAAATAAAGTTTATGTTTTGTTTTAATGTGAGTGATGTTATTATATATATACTTTATTATGGTTAGATATTTGATTTCATTTTTGTGCTATTTAGATGTTTACTATAATATTTGGATAATAAAATTAGGCTGAATAAAGTATCAATTAAATTAGAGAGGATTATAATTTATAACATATGTACATATATATATGCGTGTGCACAAATTGAGAATGTGGACGTATTGTTTGTAGTTTGGTATCAAATATTTGAATTTCATCTTGAGAATTATATAATTATCAAGATTCGATAATAAATTAACTTATTTAGAAAAAACTTAATTCGATAATTAATTAACTTTAATTGAATTTGTTGATCATATGAGCAAAACACATGAATATCCGTTATGTGTTCATTATTAAATCCGCTTTTCAAATGATAAATTAATATTACGATCCGCTAATCTAGCTAATTAAGCAAATATTTTGTTTCGGAAGTATTTTTGTCTTCGTAAAATTCCTTTTAGTGTAACATAGTCAAACTAACCTAAGACCACGATCGCACCCTTAAAATTCTACAACAAAATTAAATAATCGTGTAAGAAAATTAAAAATGCACGAAAAAAAAAAAGGCTGTGAGGATTGGAAATTATGCCCTTAAAACTTAAAAAGTCCTACAAACTTGTTGGTATGGCTGATATATTGACAAAGGAAGGGGGCAGGCTGATGCCTACGAGCGTAACGTAGCGAACGTAGCGAGGGAAGTGGAGCGACCGAGCGAAGTGAGCGGAGTGGAGCGAGAAAAAAAATATGTACCCATCTTCCGGGTCTTTAATTTGCAGGCCCGCATTGATAGTTTACTCATCTTTCGGGTCTTTAATTTGATAGTTTTATAACATTTAGGTCCCGAATTGAGAAAAAAAATCTTTCAGGCCCCGCATTGATAGTTTACCCATCTTTCGGGTCTTGTATTGATAAAACTCCTGGAAAAATATGTACAAAATCTCCAAAAGAATATTTATTTGATAAATAGTTGATAAAACTAGAATGACATTTAAAAATAGTAGGAGGGAGTATTACGATCCGCTAAAATAAACGATATGATGTCTATTTATATTATTAATCACGGTACAGAATAAGCCCTTATTAGCGTCCAATTTTGGTTCACGATGCAATGGGCCGCTACATGGAAAATGACCTCGTTAACTGGGCTTAATGGCCCAATTTCTATCAGGCTTAACCACAATGAATACAGAAGATATTGTAGTAACCCAAAATCCTACAGGTGGCCCATTTATATTTGATTAACCAATTCTACATGAAGATTTATACTGTAGCTCGTCAAAGAAATATAAAATAAAAAACATAAAAACATCATTAATTAATGTTATTATCGACTGACTGTTTCTCTCATATAAAGAAATATAAAATAAAAAACATAAAAACATCATTAATTAATGTTATTATCGACTGACTGTTTCTCTCATTTATTTTCATATGATATTAAGAGTATTATTTAATTACAGGTAATTATTTTAATAATTAATCTATATATATATAATTACTAGCTAATGAATTTAATAAAACATTTAATAAAACATATTTTCTTTTCCCTCCAAAAGGAGTTATATTTTTTTAATTAATTACTCATAAATATGTTAAAACCGTTACACCTTAATATATATTTTTATTATTTATTTTTTGGATCAATTACTAAATTAATTCTAAATTTGGTAACAAAAAAAATTTAAATGTGTAACAGCTAATGCTGTAACTTAAAGTTGATTAGTACATTCAGAGCTGTAACTGCTATATTTGGTTGTATTGTTAGAAGAAAAATATGATTGACACATACTTTTTTTTCTTTCTAAAAATTAGAAACACAAATAATTATTTTATTTATGTTAATTTTCTTAATATATGCCATAAATATATAAATTATTTTATTCATGTTAGTAATGTAAACGTTGCATGGTTAAAATAAAATTTAAATCTCAATTAATTTTGAATGATAAAAATAACTTAAGAAAAAATAATAATTTTTATATGATAGAAGTACATGTCTAATTACTAAAAATAATAATTTTTATATGATAGAAGTACACGTCTAATTAATAAAAATAATAATTTTTATATGATAGAAGTACATGTCTAATTAATAAATAAAAAAATGTGTTTTATATCTGTGCAAATGCACAGGATTAAATACTAGTTTTCGAATAATGCCCAAGCTTAGTAAAAGTAATTAGACACGATTAAGTACTAAGCATTGACTAATTTGTGAGGCCCAAAAACAGAACGTGATTGTGGTCCTTAACATAGTTTGCCCAAAAAAATTAGCGGAAAGGGAATTTTCAAGACGACCGAGATAGATGGTGAGGCATGGGCTAATTATTTTCTTGGCTTGGAGTTAAATAAATAAATAAATAAAATAAAACAAAATAAAATTCAAAACTAAACAAATTTACAATTTCTTTTTAGTCATAGAAAAAGTCTATTTTTTCAAACTCGTGCCAAGCCCCTCTTTCCACTTGTAACACACTCCTATTTTTCTCTACCTCTAAAAAATTTTACTCCATACTAAAAACTAGGAGTGAACATCCTTTCTCACCATTCACTCTCACAACCACTTTAACTACAAGAACTAACTCCCAATATAAACTTTATCTTCATCAACTCTATTCCACCACATTCACATGTCTTTCTTTCCTTGTTGTTCAACTTTTCTTGATCCAATCACATGTAATTTCTATGTACTAGTAAACAATGGCTTGTATAGATGACCAACAGCCAAATTTCAAGCACTATTGTAGAGTATGCAAGAAGGGTTTTATATGTGGGAGGGCCCTGGGAGGGCACATGAGGGCCCACGGGATCGGAGACGAGAGTGGAAATCTTGACGACGACCCCATAAGTGATTGGGAGGAGAAGTTCGGAGGCGGGGTCGATAGGACTAGCAACAAGAGGATGTACCAACTTAGGACGAACCCTAATCGACTAAAGAGTTGTCGAACGTGCGAAAATTGTGGCAAAGAGTTCTTGTCATGGAAATCCTTTCTCGAGCACGGTAAGTGCAACTCGGACGATGCATCCGAGTCTCCCATTTCCTCCGCAGAGTCCGATGCTGCTGATGAGGACGACGATGGCACACATGTCGGCAATCAGTGGTCCAAGCGAAAGAGAACCTTACGCTCAAAAGTGGGGTGTTTCAATGCCACAAGCTACCAGACAAGCGAGGAGGACGACATCATGCTTGCAAGATGCTTGGTACAACTAGCCAACACGGTGGTTGTCAACTCACCAACTGTCGATCAAGAGGAGTCGTGTGCCTCAGTCATCCGTGAGACAGCAGAGGAGAGGCAGAATGGTTATTACACGTATTTTACTCCACCAAAGAGCACTAAGGGAGCCTTCAATCAACACAAGGGGAAGGCGGTTATTTCGACAAACTCTAGGGGGATGTTCGAGTGCAAGGCTTGCAAGAAAGTGTTCAACTCCCACCAAGCATTGGGAGGCCATAGAGCGAGCCACAAAAAGGTAAAAGGTTGCTACGCGGCTAGGCAGAACCAAATAGTACTCCAACAAGACGAAAATAATGGGGTCGTGGTCATGGAAGATGACACAATCACGAACAATGAGGAGTTCTTGATTGCACCATCAAAATTGTCGACTGATCCTTCTGGTTTGCAGTTCGAACAAGGACCACCATTGGTGGGGGCCGCTAGGAGAAAATCGAAAGTCCATGAGTGCTCTATTTGCCATAGGGTGTTTAGCTCCGGTCAAGCCCTAGGTGGACACAAGAGATGCCATTGGATCACTTCGAATTCTCCTGAAACATCATCTTTCCCTAAGTTCCACTTCCAAGACAACACCAAGAACTACTACACTAATGAGCAAATCAACCACCACAACCATCAACATGAACCTACAATCGATAAATCTGATAAGTTGGATCTCAACGTCCCTGCATGGGGCCATGCGTCAGTGGCCATGCACGACACGCCCGACCCCTTGAACTTCAATGCGTCCACGAACATGCAACTACAATCGTGGATAGGGCCTGACTTCAAGAACATCGACACGGACCCACATTGCCCCTCTCAGGGGTTCCAACTAAAGAACGAAGATTACAAAATCAACGATGACATCATCGAGAGTAACAATGTCAATGGAACTGTCGAGACCAAAAGTGGGACCACGCGATGCATCGAGGATGAAGCGGATAGTAGGTTGATCAAGTTAACCAAGTTGAGTGACTTGAATGACTTGAAGGAGATGGACAATGGTGGAAGTTCATCTCAGTGGTTACAAGTTGGAATAGGTTCTACAAATGGTGCAACTACAGATGTATAATCCTTTTTCGTTATTTTTTTTTTTTT